AACGGAATAATACGGAAATAGGAACGTGAACATATATAACAAATTGTGCCAAGTACTTTTGATTGATTTAAATGTTAATTGGACTAAATAGGGACATATTTGCAAGTAATGATCCAGATGAAGGGATGCAAATGATTCTTGTCAAAAATGGTTGAGTTAAGACTGTAAAAATTTTGAGAACTCTATCTATCTGGAATTCCAGTAGTTTTTGAGGAATAACATTATTTCACTTTCTAAGCTTGAAGTTTTAAGACTACTATCAAGAAAATCTCTATACATTTGATAATTCCTATGTAGAATATGTTATAAAATAAAAAAAATAAAAAAATCTTTGATAACTGAAACACCAGTGGCCGTTTTGGTTAAAATTTGATATGTAGATACAAGGAAGCTTTGTTCAAGAAGAAATTTCATGAATGCCGGTATTTATCAAAACATGTTTCATTCTTTGGGATTTGCTTCTCCGTGAAGTTACTGTTTTCTAGTTGATAATTTTCAGGGAAATAGTTTCATCTGGAAGAGATCTGACAACTCCTTCACACAAGATGAAAATCTGTGAAATCATGAATGGAACTTCAATATTAGAATATCAGATTTTCAACAATCTAACATTACTCATATGGATTGCACAAGATAATCCATTCATACATACATCATTCATAATTTAATTTCTCTTTTGTAAGAAATGGATGGTCCTGAAAAGGACCTTTCAGTATGTAGCTCTTGAAGGGAAAGTCGCAAGAACTGTATACAGCTGCTTCATTCTGACATCTCATCATCTTCATCATTTTCAAAGAAGGAATACTCAGACTCATCATCAGAATCCTAAGTCTTCATCTGGTCAACTTTACTCTTGAGGTTCTCAACTATAGCAGCCATCTCAGTTGCATAGTGGTAGAACATCATCTTCATGTTGCTGAGTGTTGATATCTGTAGGCGTAGGGAGTAGCGATGAGCCTCTCTCTGGTGTAGCTTGGCTCGCTGGTAGCGTAACTCCACCATCTTGGCTTTGTCATCAATCAGCAGCAGTTGGTCACATGCCCTGGTGAATTTTCTGTAGGCAACATCCAGTTGTTCAGTAGTTTGCTCCAAATCCAGACTATTGTCTCTTTCTGGTACTCCATAAGCTTCGGCTTCTTGCATAGAGTAGGAATCCATTGTGTCTAGAGTTGTTTAGAGTTGTGATGTGATTGCTAGGCAAGTCAGATCAGTAATGACTTCAACAAGAATCAAAACAGTATTTATACTGTTCTAGAGGAAACTAATGTCACTTCAAAGAAACACTGACATCAGACAGTTTAAAACATCAAGAGCAAACCTCAAACAATGATTTCAAACTTTGACATCAGACAGTTTAAAACATAATCTGATTATAAACTTAGACATCACACTGTTTAATACACTCACTTCAAACAAACCTTGGCACCAGACAGTTTAAAACATGAAACTCATAATCTGATGATAAACTTAGACATCACACAGTTTAATACACTCTATTCAAAGAAACATTGTCATCAGAAAGTTTAAAAGTTCAAACACAGTTTGTTTTATTATCTGACTACAAACTTAGACATCAGACAATTTAATACACTCACTTAACAAAACATTGACATCAGACAGTTTAATACGCTCACTTCAACCCAACATTGTCATCAGACAGTTTCATATGCTGATGCCTTGGGACATATGAACCCTGCTCAATTAGATTTTAAAGGATCGCAGTTGAATTCCAAAATGGCTACCATTTTTCTTACAAGTGGACAGCATTGGTAAAAATTTGATATGTTGATACAAAGAAGCTTAGTTCAAGAAGAAATTTCATGATATCCGGTATTTATCAAAACATGTTTCGTTCTGTGGGATTTGCTACTCCTTCAAGTTACTGTTTTCTAGTTTATATTTTTCAGAGAAATAGTATCATCTGGAAGAGATCTGACAACTCCTTCATACAAGATGAAAATCTGTAAAATCATGAATGGAACTTCTACATTAGAATATCATATATTCAACAATCTAACATTACTCATATGCATTGCACAAGATGAATCCATTCATACATACATTATTCATAATTTAATTTCTCTTTTGTAAGAAATGGATGGTCCTGAAAAGGACCCTTCAGTATGTAGCTCTTGAAGGGAAAGTCCCAAGAACTGTATACAGTTGCTTCATTCTGACATCTCATCCCATTCATCAGCTTCAAAGAAGGAATACTCTGACTCATCATCAGAATCTTGTGTCTTCATCTGGTCAACTTTACTCTTGAGGTCCTCAACTACAGCAGCCATCTCAGTTGCATAGTGGTAGAACATCATCTTCATGTTGCTGAGTGTTGATAGTTGTAGACGCAGGGAGTACCGATGAGCCTCTCTCTTGTGTAGTTTGGCTCGCTGGTAGCGTAACTCCACCATCTTGGCTTTGTCATCAATCAGCAGCAGTTGGTCACATGCCCTGGTGAATTTTCTGTAGGCAACATTCAGTTGTTCAGTAGTTTGCTCCAAATCCAGACCGTTGTCTCTCTCTGGTACTCCATAAGCTTCAGCTTCTTGCATAGAGTAGGAATCCATTGTGTCTGTGTGTTTAGAGTTGTGATGTGATTGCTAGGCAAGTCAGATCAGTTATGACTTCAACAAGAATCAAAACAGTATTTATACTGTTCTAGAGGAAACTAATGTCACTTCAAAGAAACACTGACATCAGACAGTTTAAAACATCAAGAGCAAATCTCAAACAATGATTTCAAACTTTGACATCAGACAGTTTAAAACATAATCTGATTATAAACTTAGACATCACACTGTTTAATACACTCACTTCAAACAAACTTTGACACCAGACAGTTTAAAACATGAAACTCATAATCTGATGATAAACTTAGACATCACACAGTTTAATACACTCTATTCAAAGAAACATTGTCATCAGAAAGTTTAAAAGTTCAAACACAGTTTGTTTCATAATCTGACTACAAACTTAGACATCAGACAATTTAATACACTCACTTAACAAAACATTGACATCAGTCAGTTTAATACGCTCACTTCAACCCAACATTGTCATCAGACAGTTTCATATGCTGATGTCTTGGGACATATGAACCCTGCTCAATTAAATTTTAAAGGATCGCAGTTGAATTCCAAAATGGCTACCATTTTTCTTACAAGTGGACAGCATTGGTAAAAATTTGATATATTGATACAAAATTGTTCAAGAAGAAATTTCATGATGGCTGGTATTTGTCAAAACCTGTTTTGTTCTTTGGGATTTGCTACTCCGTGAAGTTACTGTTTTTCTAGTTGATATTTTTCAGAGAAATAGTTTCATTGAGAAGAGATCTGACAACTCCTTCATTCAAGATGAAAATCTGTGAAATCATGAAGGGAACTTTTAGATTAGAATATCATATTTTCAACATTTTTACATTCCTCATATGCATTGTACAGGATAATCTGACTATAAAATTATACATCAGACAATTTAATACACTAACTCAGTAGACAGGTTTGGTTCAAATTTGATATGTTGATACAAAGAAGCTTAGTTCAAGAAGAAATTTCATGATATCCGGTATTTATCAAAACATGTTTCGTTCTGTGGGATTTGCTACTGTTTTCTAGTTTATATTTTTCAGAGAAATAGTATCATCTGGAAGAGATCTGACAACTCCTTCATACAAGATGAAAATCTGTAAAATCATGAATGGAACTTCTACATTAGAAAATCATATGTTCAACAATCTAACATTACTCATATGCATTGCACAAGATGAATCCATTCATACATACATTATTCATAATTTAATTTCTCTTTTGTAAGAAATGGATGGTCCTGAAAAGGACCTTTCAGTATGTAGCCTTGAAGGGAAAGTCTCAAGAACTGTATACAGTTGCTTCATTCTGACATCTCATCCTCTTCATCAGCTTCAAAGAAGGAATACTCTGACTCATCATCAGAATCTTGTGTCTTCATCTGGTCAACTTTACTCTTGAGGTCCTCAACTACAGCAGCCATCTCAGTTGCATAGTGGTAGAACATCATCTTCATGTTGCTGAGTGTTGATATCTGTAGGCGTAGGGAGTAGCGATGAGCCTCTCTCTGGTGTAGCTTGGCTCGCTGGTAGCGTAACTCCACCATCTTGGCTTTGTCATCAATCAGCAGCAGTTGGTCACATGCCCTGGTGAATTTTCTGTAGGCAACATCCAGTTGTTCAGTGGTCTGATCCAAATCAGGACTGCTGTCTCTTTCTGGCACTCCATAAGCCTTATATCCTTGCAGAGTGTAGGAATCCATTGTGTTCTGTGTGTCTAGAGTTGTGATGTGATTGCTAGGCAAGTCAGATCAGTAATGACTTCAAGAAGAATCAAAACAATATTTATACTGTCCTTGAGGAAACTAATGTCACTTCAAAGAAACATTGACATCAGACAGTTTAAAACATCAAGAGCAAACACCAAACAATGATTTCAAACATTGACATCAGACAATTTAAAACATCAAAAGCTAATGTCAAACATTGAGATAAATGAAACAAATTATTCAAACATTGACATTAGACAGTTTAAAACATCAAAAGCTAATTTCAAACTCCAATATCTTATATAGTTGCAAACATCTAATTATTAGGTCATCATATTTACATCAGTTGGTTTAAAGCATTTAATAAAATTTAGAATGAATTACTACCCTTAAATTTGACATCTAATTGTGTTAATTATATGAAGATGATCCTAATACTTTGACCTTCGATTGAATCGTCAAATGCAAACTTTGACTCAATGTCTGATTCACACATGTGATCCGAAAAACTGTATTGACTTATAAAAGCAGTCCCTTCTCCAGCCTGTCTGTCCCCTTGTTTGATGAAAAAGATGTTATGAAATTTGCATTGAGAATAAATCTAAATGGTGCAATAAAAAAACAATCATTCTGTAAAGTACTTGCTAAACTTAAGCACAGAGTTTTTATTACCTTGATTATTTTGTATTTTTGATATTTTTCAGAGAAAACTAAAATAGTTTCACCAGGAAAGAGGTCTGCCAACTCCCTCATGCAAGATGTGGAGAAATCATTACAAGGTAACCAACCCATAAATATAATGTTTGGACTTTTGGGATTATTAATTTTAAAAAAATATACACAAAAAATCATTTAAATATATAATGTCTGTATGTATGCTATCAGTAAATGCTTAAAGTTTTTTTTTCTGTACCAAAATGGAAAAATCAAAGGATGTAGTCGTAAAATGGAAATGACAGCATTGTGAATTGTAACTATTCAAACATGTCAATTAAATAGCTTTTTATTAGGAAATAGTGTGAGTCAGATTAAAGCAAGCCTTCTGAAATTAATAAAAAATATCCTCAATCAATAAAAATCAGAACTGGTTAAACTAACACATTACTCATTCGTTATTTTGCAGATATTGGGGCAACAAATAAACAACAAAAACTTGCAGATACCACTGAAGAAATAGAAGATTATGAAGTGTGGAAAAAACGAATATTGGAGAATGCTAGAAAAGCACTAGCTAAACAATCATAGCGATACTTAGACAGATTATATAAGTATCTCATTAAAACAAAAGTTACATTTTTCAAAAACCTGGTTCAGCTGCAAATATTGTATATATTTGGACTTTTTCTAATAAATTTGTACCAAAATTATAGATGAGATTGATGTTGAAATTATATGAATTGAATTATATGTGTTGAACTTTCTCCTTCATTATATCTCCAAGGGTTTTCAGCATTTTATAAGCCATCTATATGAAAATATGTGACAATCTGGATGCAATTAGAAAAGTGTAACAAATATTACAGACTGTGTAGTGTCAGTCACAAGACTGTTGGCTGTAACAATGTCCCCAGTTTATGACCATTGTGTAACTATTCTAGTGCTTATGTAAGGCCTCCTTCAGGTAGGGTGATTTTTATAAGTTCAAAATTGCAACAAGTCAAATGGCACGAAAAGTTTTCTGAAGGGGCTGTTTGGATGACTGAGGTACTACTATCATTTATAAAACAAGACGGACTTACTGAAAACTTTTCAAAATTTATTTCTGTAAAAATATGCATAAAATTCACAATATTTACACAGCAATATATACAGAAGAATACACTTTACAATTTTTAAGCTATCAGTAATGTCAGTATAAATGCCTCAATCCAAAAGGTTAGCTACATTACTCATTCCACTCAGTCTGTTAAGTACAATGATTTTTCAATTTTATAATGTATTTTACTTGCTTGGACATGAGACTCCTGATTGGATTTTCTGACAAACAATGCAGTCCCACAATGATTAACATACAAATGTAGTTATAGAAATGAGATTCTTTGGTTCAGAAATTTTACATAATATACCAAATATTACATACATATGTTTATGACTACTCAATGTCCAATTGTCCATGGACATAAATATACAAAGTAATTGACAAAACTTTACAACATGAACGAGGCATAAATATGAAAAAGACTCACCACCTGCCATTTGTTACGGATGCTGAACTCTGACAACTGCTGTATACCATCCATAAATAAAAAGTTGAAGACTTTAACAATATGTCACCACTCCTGGTGGAGACATGAAAACCAAAACACTTGATAAATTGTATTTCACAGCAATCACTAGAAAGCTTTGGTAGGCTGTTAAATCATAAGAGGAACATTATTCAAAAACTTCTTTACCCAAGAAATTACTGTCAATTGTCAGCAAGGTAAAACATTATTCTCTTGTGTGTCACTCTACATTCATTATGTCATGTTCTTTGCAGGCCGTCATTTACTCTAGGCAATGAGCAAATTTCCAATTTCATTCTGTTATCCATTTTGAAGTACTAAGAAATGTTCGCTTTATAAATTATGTTTTCCATTTGGCACTGACACTAACGTATTATGGACGGAATATTGTCAATCTCCAAAATCACAAACTAAGTTTGTGCAAAAGTTAAAACTTCATTTGTGTCACTGACTCCACCATATTCCAGATAAGATCAGTTTACATGTTTATCAATTTAAAGGGGTGTTATCACTTTTAGCACCTCATGCTTAGCATTGACAGCTAATTTAGAGAAAGTATATTTTGTACTGATCTTCAAACATCGCCCCTTTTTATATCACTTGGGCTAGTCCAGCTTCCAATTTGGACAAGTTTATATCATGCTGTGGGGGTGTTACCATGTTATGCTATTCACTCTTGGCACTGACAGATAATTGTGAAGGAGCTTGTTTATCTAGGCCTAATTTCCTGCCATTCACTACCAGAACTACAGGACTGTCAACTCTAATGCTTTTAAACTGGAACGCCTGCAAGGAGATCAAAATGCATGTTACGTCCAGATGTTACATATATATGTACAAAAATGAGGAAAAATGAAATCTGATGCTGTATATAGTTTTTGAATTTTTGTACTTTTTGGGTTTGGAGAGAACACCATTTTCAAACTACACTGTATTACACATATACTTACCTGTTCTCCTACTTTAACATCAACTAGTTGAACAAATGGTTCAGGTATCGCAACAGAATCTCCTATCTTCACACCATAGCCTGGAGCAACATTATACACATTCACAGGGAAGCATGTCTCTTCCTCATCAACAAAACAGAATGAGCTGAAAGTAAAATATTTAGATACATCAGGACAGGAGCCGAAGTAGCCATGAGCAACATTATACACATTCACAGGGAAACATGTCTCTCCCTCATGAACAAATCAGAATGAGCTGAAAGTAACATAACATTGTTGAGATACATCAGGACAGGAGCCGAAGTAGCCATGAGTAACATTATACACATTTACAGGGAACATGTCTCTCCCTCATGAACAAATCAGAATGAGCTGAAAGTAAAATAACATTGTTGAGATACATCAGGACAAGGACCGAAGTAGCCATGAGTAACATTATACACATTTACGGGGAACATGTCTCTCCCTCATGAACAAATCAGAATGAGCTGAAAGTAAAATAACATTGTTGAGATACATCAGGATAGGAGCCGAAGTAGCCATGAGCAACATTATACACATTCATAGGGAAACATGTCTCTCCCTCATTAACAAATCAGAATGAGCTGAAAGTAAAATAACATTGTTGAGATACATCAGGACAGGAGCCGAAGTAGCCATGAGCAACATTATACACATTCACAGGGAAACATGTCTCTCCCTCATGAACAAATCAGAATGAGCTGAAAGTAACATAACATTGTTGAGATACATCAGGACAGGAGCCGAAGTAGCCATTAGTAACATTATAGACATTTACGGGGAACATGTTTCTTCCTCATGAACAAATCAGAATGAGCTGAAAGTAAAATAATATGTTTATAAAAACATTACTTGGAAACATTTCAGTTCTCATACATTACTATATGTACAAGTTTAAATTTGGCACCTCTTTGTGTTGGTGTTTTTGTAATTATTTATCAACATCAGTCAATGTGCAATGCTTTTTCAATAAATTCCTTGGAAGTGTATTTTGTTTTGACATATTTAAGATGGACAATTTTATACTCACAAGGGAACGGGATCATCAGAAGTAAAACTGCACACTACTTTTCCAATGATCACTTTTTCAGAATTCAACTCTGGTTTTAAATTTTTCAGGAATGTTTTTTCTAATTTGACTGTCTGTCCCTTTGGTCCTTTATAACTTCCTCCTTGATATGCTCCTAAATCTTGATCCCCTTTTAAACTTTTCAACATTGTCTCTAGTTTCTTTCCTTTTAGTTTTCCCTGGAAGGAAAATGTGCTATGTTCTGAATCTTTTGTATACATTGCATGTACAATCAATTTTGAACTAAAAAGCGATAAATAAAATAGATAGTTAAAGTAATGCTGAATCAAAAACCGTAAAATCGTTTCCATGAGGATATATGATATTGTGCGACGGTAACATTATATTGGTAAATAATGTAACAATTCTAACATGATAACATTTGTGAAAGTAAGTGGTCATACAATCCCTATGATAGACCAGTAAATCATATTAGAATTTTAGATTAAAGCATATTCAAGTACAGTTAATAAATCATGACGATAAATCAGCTAATTACTTTTTTGTGAGTATAATCCTGTATGGTGGCTAAATATTCTAACAGTTTATTATGTTTCTCCATGGGTTCACCCCAAGTGGGGTCTAATGCTGCAGCCCTGGAGAACCCCACCAATGCAAGCTGGTATTCTTCCATGTATTTATAGGCTATAGCTCTGTTGAAGTGGAGATCAGGATTACAACTGGCAACTATATCTTTTTCCTGAAAACAAAACAAATTTTATACTGATTGTAAGTATCTTGCTCTAATTTTGGCATCTTCTGAACACAGGGACAGAACGAAGAACAAAGAAAGAAATATATTCCAGATCTTAGAGCCTTGGAGGATGAGTTTTTGAGCTAACAAGAAAATTGTGATTGAACATAAGGCAAAAGAACAGGTTCAGACATTTGTATACATAAGATATCACAGAATACATGCTATTCTGGATTCAGCTTCAAATAAATATTTATCACTACTATTTTTGATTGATATTTCTTTTAGATGATCAACTCCACCAGTTAGATTTTAACTAAATTTGCATTCACACAAACCAGGAAGATACAATGTATCTAAACAATACTAAACATGTATTTGAATCTTTGTGTACTTTCACAATATTTAAATCCTACTATTTATATAAAACTCTAATTGGAATATAAGATATATACTGTACATACTAAAACAACTTTATTCATTTCTTCATAGAATTTTTTTTATTAAATCAAGGCTATCGACTTGTACCCCCAAGTCTTTTTCAAGATTTAAAAAAAAATAACAGCATACAAGACAATATACATAGAAGATATATACAAGTTTTTCAAGATATTCTAGTCTAATCTCAATTCTTATTAATAATTTTCTGAGAACCTTCCTGAGAACTTACTGCTTGGTTGTAAGCACTCATACATTGTTTCAGGACCTTGGGTAGTTGGTTGCTGCCAAAGAACAGAGAGAGGTATGCATTTCCCATGATGACTGAAAAACAAGATAGACAATTTACTTAAGACAGTCAAGTCTGGAATTTCATAATATTAATAGTAATACACAGCCAAATTACATCAGGCCCCACACAAGCTCGTACGAGCCTTGAGAATTAGAAGTTATTATGGGCAAAAAGGAGCACCATCCTCGTATGAGCTCGTAAGAAGCTCGTTTTTGAGGCCCGTGCGAGCTCGTACGATGCTCATAATTATTGTTTTCAGGCCTGTACGAGCATGTGCGAGGCTCGTAATTTCAAGGCCCGTACGAGCTCGTACATGGCCCGTTATCAAACTCTTTTCGCTGTGTACCTATCATGATTTAAAATGAAATACAAAGATCATCTCGAAAAACTGTCACCATTTTGATAGCAGTAGTCCTTTTGAAGACAACCTAAAACCATATACCATTAAACATATTTCCACATGAAACAAATTGGTGTCCTCGTATCTGAGTTAATGTGCAGACATATGAACTGATTGATGCATGGATGGAGGGAGTCACTATATCCCTACTGAAATAGGCCAAAATATTATAAATAAGGCATTAACTTGCAAAATGTCACCACCTGCCAACTGCCAAACACCAACCCCCATTTACAAAAGATTTGGAGACTATAACAATATGTGGTGGTGACATAATAATGAAAATGTTTCTTTTACTTCTGTTATCAATTTTCTTAACCCTTGCAAGAGCCTAACCTTGTGTACACTTTTAAAATTAGAGGTAATTAAATTAACATTCATTTCATATTTAAACTGTCATAAAGGTCAAGAAGTCTACATTTGAGATGATTAAGACGTTATCAATATTGAACTATGAAATCATCTGTGTTAAGTCTATGGCAGCCGTACGGTGGCTGTAGCTTTACAAAAAAAATCAATATAGAAAATCTACATTGCACTGCTTATCCCCTATACATGTATTTTATGCCGCATATTTCTTTTGATTTTGGGAAGCCAGGCCGCCGTACGATTGCTGTACATCAAATGTGGTAAAAATTGATATACCCCTTTCAATCGTTTAGCTGTACTTAATCAAAATAGGTCAATTAAAATCGGAATACAGAATCAAAATTGTAGTGCCAGAACTTTATGCCGTCATAAGGAGGTCACATTTATTTCACATAGAAACTCCAAAAGAATTGAAGGACAGCTAGTACTTAACAGCATGAAAATGTTATATTTGTACATTTATTTTACTCATTCAGAGGATTATTACTACACACCTTTTGGGTAAGAATCAGGGTATAAAATGATCCACCTTGCAATTATCAAACAATAGTTAATCATTTTAACAGTGGTCAAGCATGCAATATCATACTTACTGATTATTTTAAAAACAAATGAAACAATGAATAATTGTGCTCAAATATGAATCACTAATTTGAATCAATATTTTCTAAATTAAATTTCAAAACACTTTCAATAGAAACAAGAGCAAGAAATATTCTACTATAGATGAAATTCATGAATATACATGCCATATCACATTTGCTACATTAACTATTTTACGCCTTGAAATTCATAGATACACTGTATAAGTGATTTTGAAAATCTTTCAGAATAGTAGTTGAATTATTTCAGGAACATACATAGATGGCTCAGAATTATTGCATGACAAGGAGAATTAATTCATCAAATTGATAACATGCATTTTAAGCCACGTTTATTAGTACTGTACATTCATCAAGAGTTCATGAATTGTGTGCATCCAACAATTTATAATTTCAGTAGGCCTATGACTATAAGCGTATCAAAGCTACATTGTAGGACATATTAAATAGTTTTATATGTACATGTATAATCAAAGATATTGAAAGTTGTGATTCTGAAATTTATGATTTACAGTGGTTTATGATTGGAATTCCTAATCAAAAGAGCACGGAATAATAATATAGATTGTGCTGAGTTATAACATGGATTGTGCTCAATTATAATATAGATTGTGCTGAGTTATAACATGGATTGTGCTCAATTATAATATAGATTGTGCTGAGTTATAACATGGATTGTGCTCAATTATAATATAGATTGTGCTGAGTTATAACATGGATTGTGCTCAATTATAATATAGATTGTGCTGAGTTATAACATGGATTGTGCTCAATTATAATATAGATTGTGCTGAGTTATAACATGGATTGTGCTCAATTATAATATAGGTTTTGCTTAGTAGTTTTCTAAGGTAAGAAACATAATTGCATAATATACATCATGAAAAAATGTCTTATGGACACTATTAAAAGTCATTCAAATGCATTTAGACATACATAGTGCTTAAATTCCATAATATTGTGATTTAAGCATTTTACATAGACATGGCTCGATTGTCATTCTTCTTCATACTTTATCTTATTATTCTTTAAATTTTCAAGTAAATAATTAAGCTCATGAAATATTATGTACATGTACTTACATGTATCTGAAAACATCAAAAATTTCCATGGAAAACTAAGGTGAAGGATACTAATGTTAACACTTGGGTTCATGTCAACATCAGAAGTAGGGTAACTTACTTTACAAATGCTGATATAAGAACTTTCAATTTCCACCATATTTGATTTTAGCAAAATTGAAAATATTGGAAGAATAAAGCATGGATACTGGATCGGAAATAAAACAAAATTGTGTCTAAATATTATGACATCATATTAATACTTACACCATGAGGTGCCATCTTTTATGTCTAATTCTATCGCAGATTTGGCAAATTCGACACTTTCTTCGGTATACTTTAAACGCTCTTCCTGATCCTTCCCAAGTTGACGTAGAACCATACTGAGATTACGAAGTGAGATCTTATTTTTAGACTGAAAAACAATAAAATTAATATAAGGAATGTAACACTACACCTTCTCTCCTAGATTCACAACTGAATAAATTCTCTTTCTACCTTTCCAGACAATAAATTCATTTAATTAATTGGTCTGAAACAGTTTTCTCTCAATAATAAAATATTTTGGATTTCATAGATGTTTCAAAATGGGCTAATTTCTATTATTCTACATAAAAATAAGGATTTTTCACCATAACTAATTTTTCATAAAATAGATTTTCATGATTAAATCATCAATTCTTTACATGAATAATAAATCTTTTTTTTAAAAGGTTATTGAAAGCAATGTACCTAAATGTTTTGGGGAAAAAACGATAAGTTTAAGCCATTCCTCTTTGTTGATTATTTGAATTCTTATTTTCAGAAGAATTGGAACAAATAGCAACCATCGGAATCAGAATGAAACTTTGCAGACTTCTTCAGGGACCTTTGCCTACATTCTTGGCATTCCTGCTAGGTTATAGTTTAAACTTCATGACAAATGTATCAAGAGTGATATATCAAAATAAAGCCTCTATAGCCTACACAACTTCATATGAGGAAACAAATCACCCAGCTCCATATGCTGACTTTAAGCCTAAAGATCCCTATGTTTCAAAGACAATATATGATGTAATACGATACCAGCATTTTACAAATGAATATATTCATGAAAATACAGATTTTGGACCAAGGATAGGTCTATCTGGGCCAACACGGGCAGGTTTTGATGATGTCATTTCGCAAGTGATTGAAAATCTAAATCAAAGTAGTGGCAACATAAAATTGATAAATGGCTACAGGCGACTAGACCCACTCAGGGGCATGGAATATTTAGTACATTTAAACGTACAAGAAAATGAAAACAAAGCTGAAAGGTATCATTTGGAGTTACTGCAACCTTTCATGCCAGTTAAAGTCATCAAAACTCAACCCATATCAACTCAACAACCTGTTATCCACTTTATCATACCTATAACATTTAAGCTGGAAAATATTCAAAACTTTTTAAAAAGATATGAAGAGGTCATACTTAAAAATAATGAAGACGTTGAACTTCTGTTTGTATTATTTACAAATGCTACGAGAAAAACAGCAGAGGAGTCAACAATCTTAAAAACATTCGAATTTTATTCATCCATCTATGAAAAAGCAAAATTAAAGCTTATAACCCTCATTGGGAAGTTTTCTCGAGGAAGTGGATTAGATGCGGGAGCATCGATTTATTCCAACGATACATTACTTTTCTTTTGTGACCTTGATATGATGTTTAATACAGAATTTTTAGGGCGTTGTCGTAACAATGCAGTGTTTGGATCTCAGGTGTATTATCCTATTGTTTTCGCACAGTTTTCCCCTGACATGGTTCACGATTATACACCAGCAGGGTATGACAAAGACCCACTGGCAATAAATAAATACACTGGTATGAACACATATAATAACTGACCTTACAGCATTTTTAGTTTACAGAGGAATATAATTTTGATAGTCAGCTAAATCAAGCGGTCTTTAATTGTTTTGTAGGTCTATATAAGGTAGCTTGCCAATACTTGAGGCCCTTAGCCAGATTTTACCAAGGGAGGGGGGTCACTTTTCAAAAAATTATGCGGGGTTTCACATTTGACAACTTTGGCCTAAAATCAGTTAAAAAGTGCTCAGAATGGCGAACACCAAACCCACTGTACTTGTAATATATTCAAACAAAAAATGTCCAGTGATCCCCCAATAGATTTCAGAAAGTTTGAAGTATCGCTTGCTTTTACAGGTCATTGGGTGCACTATGGCTATGGTATGATGTGTGTATATAAACAGGACTATGCAGCAGTCGGGGGATACAACCTAACTATACAGGGTTGGGGAGGAGAGGATGTAGATATATTTTTACAGCATACAAAAAGTCATCTGAGAGTAAGCAATTTTAACATTCATGTGTATACATAAAACATGTTTGAAAGAGGATCGTTTTTAGCTATTCATGGTATGTGAATTTTTGTTTTTTATTCGGAGATTGTGACAATGATGCTAATTTTGATGCCCACAAGAATTCTGGTAAAAATTAATTAGATCAGCTATTCAGCTAATTAAGTTTAATATTCTTAAACAATTTAATTTGAGGCGTATGTTGATTAAAACGATAATAATAGACAGATTTTACTGTATTTCACATTGTTATCATTATTTTCCATAATTTTCCCATAATTTCCCATTTTTACCAATATATTACTATTTTCCAGGTATTCAGAGCGATGGATCCAGGTCTTATACATATATACCACAAAAAACACTGCAGGAGTTCTCTCAGTGCAAAACAGTATAAAATGTGCACTGATTCTAACTCAGAGGGCCTCGGAAATGTGTCGCAACTTTTCCGACACATTATGAACTTAACAGAACGATTTAATGAGGAGCAGCTTTGAAATATGACTGCAATAGGAAATTAATTAAATCATTTATTTATCAAGTGTTCAAAATCAAATATTTATAGATGATTGAATAAATATTTATATGGAAGTCATGGGCATTATGGGGAATTATGTACCTTAAGAAAAAAGTCATGATGACCATGGTATTCCATGATGTGTCCATGGTATTCCATGATACGCCAATAGTATTCCTGTATCTCATACTTGAGTGGGTTTGGGGTAGATATCACCTGGGAATATATATCGTATCTGAGGAGCGGGCAGGATATATTGTAGATGTCCCGCTCAGGGCCAAATGCGGGCAGATATAATATATCCATCCCGCTCCCGGGAATTTTTCAAAAGTTTAAAAAAAGTTTAAATATCAAAAGTTTTAATTTTTTAATTTTAAAATTAAATTTTTTTAAGTTTAAATGTTACAATTTCATTGTATTGAACAAAAAGAATAATATTACCAAAATGTTAAAGGGTGACGCATATCGTTTAGCAAATCGAACGCTCGTTTCTGGTGTTGCTCACCGTTTAGTATAAAAGGCCCGATCCCGGAATAATACTCAAGGGTTCACAGGTTCGAGGTCGTTGTGTCAACACCTCTAACTGTTATATAGCATAAGTATATTACAGATTGTCACACATTTATACAAGAACACAAATGTGTACAAAATGTCCCCACCTATGGGTGATCCCGTCAAATGGTTATCCTAAAAATGAGTAGACAAGACTTAACCGACACAATTTGAGGACGGAAAATCCAAAATGGCCACCTTAAAATTTACCCAGAATGCCAAAAAATTAGTCAGTTCTAGATTTTCATACTAAGAACCACCCCTGAAAATTTGAAATTGATCCGTCACACAGTTAACCAGAAAACATGTAAACAAGACTTTACAGACAAGATTTGAGGACATAAAATCCAAAATGGCTGCCTTGACATTTATCCAGAATGCCCAAAAACTAATCAGATCTAGATTTTCATACTAAGAATCATCCCTGAAAATTTGAAATTGATCTACCAAACGGTTCACCTAAAAACGCGTAGACAAGACTTTACGGCCAAGATTTTAAGACGGAAAATCCAAAATGGATGCCTTGACATTTATCCAGAATGCCAAAAAACTAATCAGATCTAGATTTTCATACTGCGAATCATCCCTGAAAATTTCAAATTGATCTACCAAACGGTTCACCTGGAAATGCGTAGACATGACTTTACAGACAAGATTTTAGGACGGAAAATCCAAAATGGCTGCCTTGACATTTACCCAGAATGCCCAAGATCTAATCAGATCTAGATTTTCATACTGAGAATCATCCCTGAAAATTTGAAATTGATCTACCAAACGGTTCACCTGAAAATGCGTAGACAAGACTTTACAGGCAAGATTTTAGGACGGAAAATCCAAAATGGCTACCTTGACATTTACCCAGAATGCCCAAAAACTAATCAGATCTAGATTTTCATACTAAGAATCATCCCTGAAATTTTGAAATTGACCTACCAAACGGTTTACCTGAAAACGCGTAGACAAGACTTTACAGACAAGATTTTAGGACGGAAAAATCCAAAATGGCCGACAATAAAAAAGTGATTAGGAGTTTTTGCTGATTTCTTTTTACAAAATTATCACATATAACTACTGTTAACAATAACATAGGCTTTTACAACAAAGTACACCTGAAATTATTTATAAAGCTACAAAATAGTTTAAGTATGAAAACTGAAAAACACCATTCAATATGATACAAAGTATTATCGTGCGCTAACTTTTCTTAAAACATTCAAAATGGCTGACATGACTGAGCTAACAGGTCCAAAACCTAATCAGATCTAGAATGAAGTGAGCTGAACAAGATATTAAAGTTTTAAAAGCAACTGTGAAGCCGTTTTTCTTAAAGTTTGCAGACAAGGATTTTAGCATTTGACTTCAAAATGGCCGACAGGAAGTAGATATCGAGTCAATTTTTTTTCATCCACATCTGTATGCACTCATAAGTTATCCCTGAAAATTTGAAGGTGATATCTGTAGCGGTTTTGGAGAAAACTGCCGGACGTACGGACAGACGGACAGACAGACAGACGGACGCGCCTAGGCCGACAATATGGCCCCACACTATGTGGTGGGGACATAAAAAGGGTGATTTTTATTTTGACAAATCAATTCCACATTTATGGGTGAAGTTTCAGGATCTTCTATTTGTGTATAATAAGGAAAAATTGGCATCTAAAGGACGATTCTCGGTTTGGAGAACGAAGTTCATCAATCTAAATGAGCATTATCCCTGCTTCGGACAAATTTGATTTTTTTTACATAATATAGATTTGAATGTCCTCTTTTGAATAGTCATAATTTAATTTGGGTAATATTTCTTGATTTTTCGCAAAAAAAATATTAGCGCAGTACACTGATGAACTTCTTTCCCCAAATCGAGACTTGTATTTTATTGAATCGGTCTAATTGAGCGTTATCCCTGCTTCAGGCCAATTTGTTATTTTTACATCTTGTAGAATTAAATGTCCTCTTTTGAATATTCATAGTTTAATTTGGGTAATATTTCTATATTTTTCATGAAAAAAATTATTAGCCCAGGAGACTGTTCTCCAAACCGAGAATCGTCCTTTCCCCATAACGTAATAGCACACAGCTTGGCATATGAAATATCCTACAAATGAAACAAAGCAGTTCTAATACAAGGATTTATATTGGCTGTTGTGCATGTATTCTTTGAACGCAATCACTCTATGGATAACGTTTTCAAAATCATTATAAACGGATTACTTTATCTCAAAGACAATTTCAATAAACTGGATTTTACAGAACTCCCCTTATTTCTAAAAAATGGACTGATCCAGTTGACTCGCCTGGAGCCGCCATATTGTTTTTATACCGGAAGCTTATCGGAACCCTTTAAAGTCACATATTCGATCAAAATTTGCCATGCAAACATGTTAGTCTACTTTACTGGCCCCCTTGCTGTAACAAGGAACCCAAAACACATTAAAATGTAAACATAAACCAATTAGTCACTTCACTATGAAAGTGAGGGGTGTTACGCTGTGTGCATGGACTAACACAATAGCAGTGGTCATTTACTGTGTCAACTTAGTAACCCTTGCATATCGTGCTCACTCACGTATTGAATAATTTTTTATGATCTAAATGTTTGTGGTTTATATAAAAAATGTGATATATTTTACTTAGAAATACATTAATTAATATATTCATTCAAACAGCACTAGAATGCGAGAAGAAAGAGCAATGGTGACAAAATGCAGACAGAATTTTCTGTAAGGGTTTCAAACATTTCTGGACACAATCATACATGTACTTCATGTGAACTGTTATTTTTAGTGCTGTATTTATAGATATAATTTCACGTATTAAAATCATATTTTCCAGCAATGACTTCAAATCCAGAACCACACCCATATCACATTTTCTTCAATAACTCCAAACATGTGTAAACATTGACCATGTGCATATAAATTCAGATATCACGAGCTCTTTCCTATTCGAGTACCTCATACACCCCTGCATGGATTTGAGTTGGATTCGCCTTTTATACGTGAGCCGACACACTCGCAAACGCTGATTGGATAAAGATTGCGAGAATCTTTAAATCATAAATATCTTGTCATTTGAAAAAGGTGGAAAAGGTTATATCTACCCTTAACCCACTCAAGTATGAGATACACCAGTTATGCACGGTCGATTTGGATACATGGAATATCCCTTGGGATATACAATACATCTTCCCTCGGTCCCTTCGGTCCCTCGGGAAGATATATTGTATATCCCTCGGGATATTCCCTGTATCCAAAACCTCCCAGTGCATAACCCCTATATATCCCCTTTTTAGGGTATAATAGAGTGAGGGGGGGAGGGTGACATACTCGCCGTGATTAATTCCTTACATGTTCTAAGGCTCCAGAGAAGCAATTTTTTGCAGCAGCGATATCGCCCTTTTTCCAGTATGTTTCTCCAAGGTTGTTCCAAGCTTCTACCATCTTAGGATCAAGTTTGACTGCCTTTGATAAGAGTTCCAGAGCCTCAGCACTGTAGCTTGGTAGCACATTCAGGGCCTTGCCTCTTAACATGCAGTACTGTGCTTTGTTTTCTATTGAACCTGAATTATAATGAAATAACTACTTATTAAATTGTTCATTAAAAAAATGTTTATTTATGATGTTACCTGTATTTGGCACAAGCATTGATCTTGTAAAAAAATGCAGGAAGGCGGCTTTTCATTGGGTCTACTACTTTTTTCAAGGCCTGACTGCGTCGCTAACATGCTAAATATAAGAGTTAGCTGACGTTTGGGAGTCTGACTTACCTTCTAAAGGTTAGAACCCGAATCTTAATGAAACCATATCACCTTTGTTGCGTCGATGATGATGCATAAACATAGCATTTGATAGAAATTAGCGTAAATGCTTTTCCGACTTTTTCATTTTTCATCAATGTTGACTTCCGGGAAGGCGTTGTAGTTATCACGAAATAACGCATTGACCCTTGAACTTTACTTTGTTGACGTGTCAACCAAGCATGTCTGGTGTGAAAATTAAAAGAATATTAAGCAATGTTCTACATCCGGCAAGCTAAGTGAAGTAGTCAATATTCAAAATTACCAATTTCAAGTGAAGTACGCAACGAACGAAACTGCGTGATATACACTCCCACTATTGGTCTGAATGAAATGCTACGTAGAAATATGAGCCGTCTGCTGTATTAGTCGATTAATAGAGTTAGACCTGTTGGTGATGCTTTATAATTTAGACCAAAACATTGAAGAACAAACGAACCTGTAAATCGTGAAAACAACTAACAAATATTCGGTTTTCACATATGTTCGGTAATTTTTCGTATTGAAACTTCCGGAACTTACAAGGAAATCATTCATTTTCTCAATCCATGATTTACCTCTTGCATGTTGTGGCAAATGCTCCATGGTTGACGGAACAAAGGTGATATGGTTTCATTAAGATTCGGGTTCTAACCTTTAGAAGGTAAGTCAGACTCCCAAACGTCAGCTAACTCTTATATTTAGCATGTTAGCGACGCAGTCAGGCCTTGAAAAAAGTAGTATGTTTGACACAATTTTAAATATACAGATATTTATAAAACATATTTCTGTCAAAAAAGAATCAGAATATCATTATTTAAGTATTTACATGTATAATTATGTAAACGTGGAGTTTTAGGTGTGTGCTGAATTGGTGAATAAAAAATCAGTACAAAATCATGACTGAAAAATACCCAAAGAAATTGAAGTCATAATTTAGAGAAAATCAGAGTAAATTAATATATTATATAACGCTAAAATTCATGTAAAATGAACTCATAATATTAGCACTGTTTCTGAATAGAATCAGCACTGACTCAGTGCTGTTAACAGGGTTTGAGCTTCGAAACGAACCAGTTGATTTTTTCACGAGGTATGAAAAAATAACAAGGCAGCTGATCCATAATGCCATTTTGAACAGCCACTCCCATTCGCCTCTCAACACTGTAAACTTATTAATACCAATTCAAACAGATACCCATATACACTCCCTTGTATGTACATGTAATCGTACCTTGATGCGTTTCCAAAATGTTCAGTGTTTCTTTGAGTTGTTTGGCAACCTTTTCTGTCTTATTAGCAGCTTCCTCAAGACTATGATTCTCAAAGTAGTGGTCCCGAAATGTATAGAGACACTCGACAGCATCCTGTAGTACAAGAAATGAGGAATAAAGGCTGTTAAGTAAGCAAGATGTTTTTTAATGCCCACCTCAGAATTTCTCAGATCAAAGATAAAAACTTTACTTTGAAATGCCATAATTCTTTGTCCCTAAACCTGGATATATAGAGGATATCCTATGATTTATGAGTGATATGATTTTTATCCACGAATGGATATGATATCTGCACGAGCAAGCGTAGCGAGAGAGTGCAGATATCAATATCCATGAGTGGATTAAAATCATATCACGAGTAAATCATAGGATGTTCTTTTTATTCCATAGTTAGATTCATCATCAGAATCGTCGGAAATTAAGTTATTTAATTCGAATTTCCAAACGATCCGGCGATGTTGACACTTAGCCTCGTTTTGAGTCTGAAGTAGCAAAAATCCATAAACCATCGCATACGACGTCGTATGTCATGGCTAAAAAACCGTATGTTATGGTTAAGTGAAAATTTGTCAAAAATATCATATTTTACCACTGATTACAAAAATACTGTTTTTATTTTCACATGTTATCCTATGAATATCATGCTAACTATGGAATAAATATAGTTATCTGATGCATGACCATTGAATGCGGCCAGATATTCCATGACATTTGGTCCTGATTTGACCAATCACACAGTTGCTACAGGTCTTAAAACTAAGATGACAGGTATCAAATATTAAGATGACAGCATTAAAAACTAATGTGACAGCAATACTAAGATGGTACACATAATCCAATTGAGAAGACTATTAACACATTATTCTTATTGAAGTTTAACGCGAATGACAGGCAAATGATACGCAATTTTTAAATTTTACAGAAAATTTTCATATTCACTAAGTGCTACTTGTTTTCAAAATAAAAAATGGGTGATACTAATTGAACCCTCAACTAGATTCGGGGACCATCAATTCAAAATTTCCAGAAATTACAGACGTTTGAGATTGGTCAATGTAAAAGTGGGTGTGATTTGATTGGAAAATGAAGTATCATAGTATGGGTTTTGAGATGACAGATATGGTACTGAGATGACGGTTGACATGCATACAGTGTACCTACTGACTTGAACTGACATGATAGGCACACTATTAGGCACACAGAAACTTGAAGCACTATGATATGAGATGCTTATGTCAGATCTGAGTCTTATATACTGACTCAGATCTGACATAAGCAACTCATGTCATAGTGCTACAAGTTCCTGTGGATAGGCAGCTTCTGTATTTTTCCATTTTTGAATAGCCATTTTTTGGGGATTTCTTCTAATTTGAAAAAATTGTAATTGGCCTTCTAGAATCTAGTGCAATCGCATTACCCGACTCTTAAGTTATTTGAAACTTTGAATTATATGTTGGTCATCAAATAATGTAATTCTGATTACCTGGACGGTTCCTAAAGGGGTTTGATTTTGATTTTCTGTCTCCATTTCTTCTTGTTCCATTTTGAAAATGTTCAGAAGTTTACACTCGTTAGAAAAATACCGTACTCCGTTTTAAAAGCTCATAAATGGTTCAAATCAACATTTCATCATCGTAAAATGTAGTTCATGAGTCACATAATATATTTTCCGTGGTAGAAATTTGTTTATCATTAGTGAATACAAATTTAACTCGGTAAAATCAACGAACCACACTAAAATTCTTTTTTTCAAAAATAATTGATTCAACTTCCGGTTAAAAATGGCATTGGAAAATGAAAATCCACTAGTCTTCGAAGCCGCTAAAGACCGTCAGATTACTCCTGAGGAAGAAGATGATGATGTAGTTGATAAAATAGATAATAGAGAAGTATTTGGTATCCTTTAAAAGTCGAATCACTAGGCCTGAATCAGTAAACCAATTTGTTTGCCTTTTGTAATTTAGGGGCCATGGTAATTTTTCAGAAAATAACATGGCAAAGAAGTATCAAAATATTAGAGGACACAGATATTATAGCTTAACTAGACAACAAACTAAAATATACAAAAGTTAGGATAAATATAAATGTTTCTATTTTTACATAAACTGTTTCAATTTGGTCATTTGATTGCTTATTTTTTAAATTCAAAGAACTCACAAACATTACTGTTTTGACTATAGATAGGGTACATGTAGGCCTACCACGATGCCCATGTCAAGCAGCGTGCCTACTAGGCACGCAATTTGAAACTCTGACAAACTGCGCGCATATTTCAAAATGGAAGACAGGGAGGACACGACTTCCAAAAAGAGCTAAAATACGAAAAATACAAGGTTAGTCTCGTTCTAAAGATAGTGCCATTCTGTGAAGATGAACTTAATTTACTCATAGTACTCAATGTTTTTCCCGATGTAAACCTAGTTATCTCAATATAAGGGTCTTAAGTAACTTCTGTGTTCAAAATTTACAGTGTAAAGTTATATCTATGTCTTTTTATCGTCATTTGCCGTTTATTCAGCCATTGTGTCTGTGTATGCTAGAATATATATGATCACTCCATCTGATTAAAGCAGCATAGTTTGTGTATAAAACGATAATACGCCATAAACGTGATTTGAACATTTTTCTTGTCAAACTGCGCGCCTATATTCACATGTATTTCCCAAACTGCGTGCCCAATATTTCCAAACTTGCCTATCCAACCTTGTTTTGTATTATTAGAAAACGTAAGCGCCATATGTAAGGCACATATGTGTGTAATAGTAGAACCCCATAATTGAAACACTTTGACAGTCCATCCACCAAGATGGTGATCTGAAAATAAAAGATTCTTTCGTTCCCAACTTAATTGTCACTTGTATTATACATTTTGACTTTCAATATGAAAATCTCATAAAATCTGATGATAAAACAAAATTTCCAAAGCTATATGAAAAACACCAGTCCTACACGTGCCTCTGTAGAAATTCCAATGATAATATGCAGTTTTAATAGTGTATGCGCACAGTTTGTAATTTCTGGCTAAAATAGGCGCGCAGTTTGTGGTTTATTTCTTTTCAATCTCCTGATTATCTGTTTTATCTCGAAATATTTTGAATTATACATGATAAATGCGTAAGGAATTAAATATAAAACGAGTCTAAAGTATTCGTCATTTATGTTTAAAGTACTAGATCGATTTACGTATAAATTCCTGTTAAATCAGTAACGAAAATGCCATTAATCTGCTTATGTTTTAAAACTTAGATTCATTTGCACATAGTTTTTGCTAGTATTTGCAAGATTCGTACAATCGCCACAGAATGAACGCATTGAACAAGAAAACAATGCAGGATAAATGTCTTTAAATTACGTTTCAAAATACAGACTCCAACTTAAATGATGCAATGTTGTTAGGCACGCAGTTTGTGATCGAAACAAACTGCGCGCCTAAGTAGGCGCGCAGCTTGACATGGGCACCGTGCCTACAGTGCTCTCCATAAATAAATGACACCTGGATTTGCTGGAGTGAGGATTTCCCATGTTAAAAAGAAGTGAATTTTCAAGAGGCTATGCATAAGCGGATGAGAGTATACAAAATGTAAAATATACAAAACTTAAGGGATGTGAATCTAGACATGATTGGAAAGTATGAAGTCTCAAATCACCATATCTGGGAATGATGATAGAAAATCCAGGTGTCATTTATTTATGGTCAGCACTTTATAGCATCTATTGCATTTCGGATTTCATAAACATTGTAGACCTATTGGTCCATTGCGCTGAAAACTACCGAACAGTGTATTAAGCTCCCTGTGATTCTTTTGGCATCGATCCTCACACTCAGTACATATTATATACCTGAGTGTGAGGATGTCCAATGAACCCCACAAAGGACCAAAAAGGACTTGCTGTAATTGAACCCTCCATTGTACTTCAAAATAATTTTCGGCATAAGCTAAACACATGTTCCTTACCTCAATTGATTCTAACATCCCTCTGAAACAGCGCCCCCCCCCCCCCAAGTCACAAAAGTATCTGCTATCTCAAACTGCATATGACTTATGTTTTTAAACATTGATATTGTTATTTTAAATATTGATAATTTCAATGTCTCACAAGTGATTGCAATAATCAAAAAACTTCATTTTCATGTACTTTGTATGTTTGAACTAAAATTAGTGGTGGAATCTATCAATTTTAAGTCACCTTAACTGCATCCAGATTTGATCCGTGACATCAATGACCCAGAGCATCCTTTAAGCTTGGAAGAACTGAATGTTGTCACCTGTAGCCAAGTACACGTGAGTGTCACTTTTCTTATATATCATTAAGAATGTATTAACATGTACTCTCATATTGTCAGTCAATGGGAGATAAAATGATGCGAATGAAAAAGTACAGGAAAAGTTTTCATAATAGTAGCCAGGAATTTACACTACATGTAGCATACACACAGTATTCCAAGACATCTCGAGTGAAATTTTTTAGAAATATTATGCTGAGTAAACTACAAGACATCTTACAAAATATGATCGATTTTACACCTGTATTTTCTAAGATGTTGTAGAGATATATAGAGATTATGAGGGTCAGGATATTGGGGTTATCACGAGGCCAATATTACACCTGCCCAAGAGCTGTAGGTCCTGAGGGTAGATGAGTTTTCCTGTTTATTAAGATATTCATCCACATTTATATTCTCCATTCATTGATTATCAACAGGAATATAATATATCAGCCTGCTCATCTCAGGCTGGGATATAAAGGTATAATCTGCCTGGCCAATATTACACCTGCCCAAGAGCTGTAGGTCCTGAGGGTAGATGAATTTTCCTGTTTATTAAAAAATGTAAAGGTATAATCTGCCCACTGATAAAGTTAAGTTTATATAAAGTTTTTACAAATCTACTTTATGAAACTGAAGCACGTCCAAGTATGGGATGAATAGGTCTACATGAAAAATGAAATTATATCAGTTCAGTAATGACTGAAGGAGGGTTCAGTCACCATGGTATTCCGTTCCCACTTTTTTACTTCTCTTGTATCAGTTTCACAAAAATGCATCTTAAAGAAAGCTTTGTTAAAAGCACAAAAGGGAGCAGCAAGAATTATACATATCAGATAAATGAAAGACTGTCAGGCCAAGATGAAGATGGTTCAACTTCTTTGTATTTTTGGGGGATGCAACAAGAGAAAGGACCATATTATCACATGTAAACAGGAAGTTTTAAATTTTTGTTTATCAACATATAAAACTGGGCTTTAAAGAGCGCTAAGCTAAAAGCAATGCCTAGGAAATATAAAAATTGTAAGAAATATCACTGGCTCTTTATTTTTTACAATAAGAAAATAAAACTGATTTGTCAATGCAATGTGTTTATTTTATAATCGCAAATAGGAATACAATATGAATTAATTTTAAATATTAATTCAAGGTTGTATAAATGAAATAAACAAATGAATGTCCAAATATTCATGCAAAACATTAGTAAAATACATATAGAAATGTCTCATGAAATGTCCTTTGAAGTTGTATATACATTTCATCATCCAGTTTCCAAATTGATTGATTGATTGGTTGGTTGGTTGGTTGGTTGGTTGATTGATTGGTTGGTTGATTGGTTGGTTGGTTGGTTGGTAAGTTAATTGGGTTTACCATTGGTTTTCTAGGGAAGCCTATGATTTTCATAAGGTTATGTGGCCAGTAGCCACAGTATGGTATTTAAGAAGGAACCTTTGGACATGTGAAACTGTACCTAGTATATTGTATGTAGTCTTGCATTTAGTCTCTGATTGTCCTGTCTGCTTATGCTAAAGAGCAATTATTCAATGACTTCAAGCTCTTTTCCATGGCCATCCCAACATATAGCTTTATTGTCACACCTCACTGCCAGCCACTTGCCTCCTTTATACACAATCTTCAACCGATGTGTGTGCCCTGCAGCCTCACTTGTATCTTTAATGATTCGTTTACCATTCATTGTATCTTCCACATCTTTAGCTGTCAGTTCAACACTATGAACATGGGGCCCGATATTTTTGGTCGCTGTTGTGAGTCCAAGAGTAATGCCTTCATATTTGGGATGTGTAGATGGTTCATTAATGAGTGGTTTTCTCAGTAGTTCCATGTTATCTTGAAGATCCATGACAATGTCAGTTAGTGCTTCAAGGTTCTTATAGATGGTGCTTCCCTCAGCATGGATGGGCATTATGGGGTAGCGTTGTCGTAGACGGCCAACATCAGGGATTTCTGGGAAAAAGATTCTTGTACCAGCTGCCTTCACTTTTCTCATAACACCATTACCATCTAAAACCCCAACACTCCCTCGAGCTGTATCTGCATTCGTTTTCTCAATCTGTGTATTCTGGAAAAACTCATTTGGTGTGATGTAATAGAGTTTTCGGTTGGTACCATTATATGCCTTAGCTTCATTTAGTGCTCCATTTCTTTTCCCAGCTGTGACAGTCATGCCAGCTTCTGACTTTGCGTCTCCTTTGTATTCAAGTTTGTAGGGATTCCATGAGTTGAGGGGTGTAAGGTATATTATCTCCAATGGAAAAGCATATGTCCACCTTGACGTTTCAGTCACACATTTGCGCCTTCTACATACAGTTTGTTCCATGGATGCAATCTTTGGTTGCGTTGTTTTTGCCATGAATAGATTATCATCAGAAAATCCTCGTCGATGGAGAGCCTCTCCCATAGCATCTTTCTCAGCTACTTTGAAGAATCGATGATAGTAGGCTGCATTCAGCGTTGATCCATCCTCTCGTTTGACAATATTACCATCCAGAGTTGTATCCTTTATAGTACCACGGTAGTTTTCTTTACCAGGAACCTCATACATTAGCTCATCAAGGAGTGTTGATCTTTTAGAACCTCCATCCTGGTAGTCTTTTTTGTTACTCAGTATATGGTTGATTTGAAACCTGGCTTTCCTGGACATGGAAAGTTTCTCAGTTGTTTCCTGTCGCATCTTTCTGGTTTTGATGTCGTCAACCAAGTGGAAGGCATGCAAAGGGACATGTCTTTTGATTGGATGACACATTATACGATAGTTCCATTGTGCAAAGATCGGAGTAGTGTCATTTGCAAAATTCATGATTTTAACTGGAAGATAGGCAAGATTTTCCAAACGGCTTTTAGAACCAGTGTAGGATGTATACATTACTTTCTCCATCAGTTCACTCCATATTGTGGCGTCAATGAAATGGCGGTCACTTTTAAATGGCTCATCAATTTTATCGCTTGTTGATGTTGTCCATCCTCCCTCTAAGTAGCATAAAACTGGTTTGAAGTATGGACGGAAGTCTCTCACCGAAAAGTCGTCATCTCTCCATGCCTTGAACCATTCACGGAGCTCCTCACTTTGGGATTCAATATCAGGTTTAGATAAAACAGCGGGAGGAACCTTGGGAAATGGAATGTCCACATTATCGTTATAATCAGTTGAGTTTGGACTAGGCATCCTCAGACTGTAATCATTATGTCGTGTCCTGAATTCAACACCATTCATAACAGCAGTGAATTCTCCCATTCCTACAGTACGCTTATTGTTTGCATGTTCATGAATCGCTGCTACACCCCCAGTGTGCACATGGGTGTTGGAGTAGTACGATTTTGTCCCAGTTGCCATGTAACGAGTTTGCTTGACACCAGAATGACCATCAGAACGGATTCTCTCCTCTACATAGAACTGTTGTAGCATCAGCTGTCTGGCGAGCATTCCAATTTGAACACTTGCATCATTTTCACCTTGACCCAAGTAGGTGCAGATTGCAAAAGTCAATAGCAGAAAGACTGCACGACCCTGAAAATAGAAAAATAGTACCTTTTTAGTTTACATGGGAAAGCTTTAGTTTTCTAGGTGTAAGCTTAATTTGATCTAATGTTTTTCTTTTGGTTAGATTTTATTTGCCTACTTGATTACTTTTTTTAAATTTCACAAAAATAGTTTTTATCATCCCACCCTTGGTGCTATATTATGATCAGTTTGGCAGGTGGGTAGGGAGTGGACAGGCATCTTAAATTAAACTATATGGGTTTCCAGCCAAACCAATTGAGGGATTCATCTGAAGTTTTCAGGGTTGTTTCTACCTACGAGTATTTAGAACTGATCAATTTTTGGGCATTCTAGTTAAATGGGTTTGTGTAAAAAACCGGGTGACCGGATAACCAGGTACCCGGTCGACCAGGTACCTAACGTTCCTAGCAGGGTTACCAACTTTCAAAGTTCCACATATCCCCCCGATATATAGTAGTGAATTGACTTGACAGACTTAGCCTACCGAGTGTACTGCTTGTTTGATATTTTTACCCTATACGAGACAGAGCACTTTTTGAAATAATCGATCCAGCAAACAGTGACGTCCATGTCACGTTGCTCATAAGTAGCATATAAGTTCCTAGAAGACGTTGCACATTTTCGTCTTTACACATCGAGGCAACGTAAACATGAGACATCTATTGATGGTATAAAAAGAACATTGTTGTAACGTGTCCGTAAAGTTCGTTAGTGTGGAAAACATAACAAACAGGAACGTTTTATTTTTTACTACATTGGTCCATATGTGACGTAACTCAAACGTTAAAATTCAACATTGTCAAAAACAGGCTTTTAATAATAAAATATTTGTTTGTGGAAAAAAACATGACAAAAACTTTGTGTTCTCACTAAGTCGGTTTATTTCCGACGTATTGTTAATGTTAGAATTTAACTTTGTCGAAACATTTTTTTTTCGATTTGAAATAATCGCAAAACGTGACGTCAATAATGACATTCATGGACCGTATTGATCTGATGTTATTTAAATATTCAGCAAAACGTCGATGGATTGTTGAATTTCAACATTGTGGAAATGGCTTCAAAATATTTGTGAGTTAAGGAAACATTACAAAGACGTCAATATGTTCTCACTAAATCGATTCATTACCGACGTTATTTTTACGTTAAAAGTTAACGTTGTCAAAACATTCTTATGATGTGAAATAAGCTCAAAACGTGACTTCGAAAATAACGTGCATGTATCATCCAGATCCAACGTTATTAATTTTAAAAATTCCTAACCCTGCTAGGAACGTTAAGTACCCGGTCACTGATTACCCGGTCACCCAGTTTTTTACACAAACCCTAGTTACATGTTGAGATGGCCATTTTGAATTTTCTGGCCTAAAATCTTGTCTGTCAAGGCTTGTCTACAGGTTTCCAGTCAAACTGTGTGGGGATTCATCTGAAATTTTCAGGGATTTTTCTACGTATGAAAGCTTTGGACTGATTAGCTTTTGGGCATTCTGGATAAATGTTAAGGTGGCCATTTTGGATTATCTGTCCTAAAATCTTGTCTGTATGCTTGTCCACAGGTTTCCAGCCAAACTGTTTCAGGGATTCATCTGAATTTTTCAGGGATGTTTCTACATATGAAATTTAAGAACTGATTAGTTTTGGGCATTCTGGGTAAATGTTAATGTGGGCATTTTGGATTTTCAGTCCTAAAATCTTGTCTGTCGAGGTATGCTACAGGATTCCAGTCAGTTTGATGGATTCATCTGTAATTTTTAGGGATGATCCTGCGTATAAAAGTTTAGAACTGATTAGTTTTTGGGCATACTGTATAAGTGGTAATTTCGCCTAATCATTTAATTTGCCTATTTCCTAATTATCCCAACGAACTAAGTTCGGTAGGGATAAAGTGTAGCCCTCCGTCAGTCTATCCGTCTGTCCGTGAAGTTAACTCAAATATTAGTTGACGGATTTTCTTCATATTTGGTGGAAAGATGTATATTGATGAATATTTTTTCGCAAAAATCATAAATTTTTCATTCTAAACCAAAGCAATTAATATTATTGTTTGAAATTTTTGTAGTATATTCGCAACATCTATCTTTTTCACATATATTCTGTGTTTTTCATCCTGACCCCCAGGAGCCGTGTATGGGGGGTCAGGAAAACAGAAATTTTCACTAATTTTTAGATCTTTCTGAAGTATAGCTTTATTATACTCAAATGAAAGGCAATTAAGATTAGATTGCAAATATTGTATCTTTTTTCTGATTCGAGCCTCATAAAATTCAAAATGGCCGTCTAATGAACGATTCCGCAATAATTTTTTGATCCATTCAAAGTATGGCTATATAATATTCAAATTGAAGGAATTTTGGAGTAGATAACAATTATGGTATTATTTTTCAGATTTGTACCTCAGAAAATTCAAAATGGATTTTTTCAAGATGGCCACCGCTTTAAAAATGACGGGACTTTTTCCCAAAAATCATAAATTTTCCATTCTAAACCAAAGTAATTAATATTATTGTTTGAAATTTTGGTAGTATATTCGCAACATCTATCTATTTCACATATATTCTGTGCTTTTCATCCTGACCCCCAGGAAAACAGAAATTTTCGCTAATTTGTAGATCTTTCTGAAGTATAGCTTTATTATACTCAAATGAAAGGCAATTAAGAGTAGATTGCAAATATTGTATCTTTTTTCTGATTCGAGCCTCGTAAAATTCAAAATGGCCGTCTAATGTACGATTTCGCAATAATTTTTCGATCCCTTCAACGTATGGCTATATAATACTCAAATTGAAGGAATTTTGGAGTAGATCACAATTATGGTATTATTTTTCAGATTTGTACCTCAGAAAATTCAAAATGGCTGCTTTGCAGGAATTCGCAATTCTAAAATCTAACCAAAGTAATGAGTATAATTGATTGGAATTCGGTAATTGATAATTTGTTCGTTGGGATTTGCTACTCCGCGGAGTTGCCATTATCTAGTTTTTGCCAGGTTTGGAAATATTAGCTTTATAATGTTATCCACACACCATCCCTGGCCAGGCCTTTAGGATTACACTTAGTCAGTGTGTAGCAGGAAACCTGATACCTAGCTACTGATCTTGGCTAGCCCTCATCCTGCTGCTATTGCTAAGCAACAAGTAGCATCAAAATGGCTGCCACTGTTTCTCATCTTGTATCATAGTATTGTATTTTGATTTTCCAACTATCCTAGATGTACTATTTGCCTCTTTTAGAAGTTGTACTGGGTCATGAATAGTTCATGTTAGTTATCTTTAATATATATCTGACATATGGCTTGTGGTTCAATACTTATGTAAGTTTTAACCCTTGATAGATCATTAAGGAACTTTCTCCAATTATCTTGATGTGCACCAACTTTAACCTTGAATAAGTTCACTAAAACCAGCTAAAACACTATAAAAATTGTACTAACTTTAAATTTAATATCTTCTGATCATGAAAAGGTAAATTTCATTAGGTTTTACATGGTTTTCATATGAGAATTTTACATCTAAATTACACACCCTCAAACAACCAGATATGCATTTTATGTAATGTCTAACAGTAACTATTAGTACTATTAGCCAGAAAAATGGATAGCCAAGACAGAGATAAACAAAAATATAGAAAAGCATTAGATCATCTCTGTTGTAGCTTGGTGTATAAAAAATAAAAATAGTAAGAAGTACACTGCAAAATCATATGAATTGATTCAACATGAATTAATCTGGCCTGGACCACAATGATCCAGACAAGCATCCCAAGTAAAATGTTAGATGTTATAATGCTATGAAACATTCATGGGATCCATGATTATATTAAGCAAACTTTTTTCAAAAAACAATAGTAATGGCATTCTTGAAATTGCTTAATCAACTTATACATCCAAAAAGAAATCAATTATTTATGAAAGACCAACTTGTTTGTAAAAACAAATGGCAAGGCAAGAACAATAAACGATTATTAATATTTCTCATATTCTAACAGAATTCTGAAAAGTCCATTGTCTGTACAAGTGCATCTCTTGTTTAATCAGTTTATGACTTGTACTAATTGAGGGGTTATAAAGTCATTAAATTTTGATCATTCTGTGTTGAAATAGTAAACTCATTTCAACCCCTCATCTCCATGTAAACAGAGGAATTCCAAGTATCCCTTGCAAAACATTATCTTCAAAATGATAGATTACATTATTATTAATTTGGAGGCTATTCCTCAAGATTTTTAGCTGTTGATACTTATTAAATCTATGGACTTTATAATGATAGAATTATGCATGTACTATTCTCCCTGCAAGAACTGCATTTCAAACATGTTGATTAAGGCCAAGGCAGTGTCTGAAAGGGATATTTAATTACCATGAAAGCTGGAGTGGTAATTACCCTATTAGTGATAAGATGTTCAACTGGACACCAACAGCTCCACTGGTGGCTGTTAATTAAACTACAACTAAGTGTGCCAGTACAGGGATGGTGTGTCCAATGGGAGGTTTCTTGTCATTAGGAAAATTGAAATTAGGAAAATTATGAAATTTGACCATTCGGAAACCACTCGGATTAAATACCACTTATACAGCAGGGGTGGATCTGGGAACCAATAAGTGGGGGCCCAAAGTTCAGGTCAGAGATAAAAACGTCTGTGCTTGCGTAGAAAAAAATTTTGGGCCCCTAAAACCCAAAAGTGGGCCCAAATTTTGAAATTTTGAGGCCTATTTTCTTCAAAATGTGGCCTGAAATTAAAAAATAAGGCCTTAAAAGGCCCAGTAATGACCTTAAAGGCCCACAAGGCCTTTTTTGCCACCAAGGCCTTTTTTTGGGCCCAATTTTTTTTTCTGGGCACACCCAAAGGGGGGGGGGGCTGGGCCCCCTGGCCCCCCCCTAATCCGCCAGTGTACAGTATTGGGTAAATGTTAAGGTGGCCATTTTGGATTTTCTGTCCTGAAAATGTGTTGTGTTATGTTGAGAAAATTAAAATTGTTTGAAAAATAGGCGAGAAATTACACCCTAAGTA